GCTATGATTCTAAACCAAAATTATTTAAAAATTATTCTAGATAATTTTAATATTCTAGATATTATCTAAAATTATTCTAGATAATTTAGTAAAGATAAGACTTTTTTCATCTAAGATACAGATTGCAGATATAGATAATACACATATTTTATTTAATCTCTATTTATTATCTCTATAATACTTTTTCATCTAAGATACAGATTGCAGATATAGATAATACATATATTTTTATTATCTCTATAAATATATACTATAAGATGAAGCCAAAGTTTCATCTAGTTTACATGATCATTATATAATTTTATTACAAACACTGCAAAAACAAGAATAATCAATATTGGCTTTTATTAGACTTTATAGAGTATTGATGATACATACGTGGTGGATAAATTACCATAAATTTGTGTAGGCCGCGCCAACAGCGATCAACATCGAATCGATGCACTACGAGAATTCAATCTGCCCTTCCCAAGTGTGACCTATGTCCGAAACGTCGTGTAGATTGGAACCGGGCTCTCGAACTTGAAACGAAGATTTTCCTAATAATACGGACAAGAAGAGTCTTGGACTTTTCGAAAGATACTAGGCAAGCTTTCTATGATACGCTTGCGGGATTTCGATGATTTGCACTTCTTGAAGCATCATAATGTGCGCAATCTCTCGGGTAGGATACACCGTTACCTCTTTTGCAAGCAAATTAGAATAGATTATATGTTCCTCTACTTTCTGAATCGATCTTTAAAGCTTTATTTGAGAACAAGGTTAAAATATCATCTACCATAAACCATTCTGTCAATAAACGGGTACCAAAGCAATTTTAAAAGTGTTTTGAAACGTTTCTTCATCCAAAACGAAATACAAAGACTTTTATATTCATAAATTCTTAAGATTCCTGTATACTCACTACAGCCATCTTGGATTGATGACGTCAAAAGTGAAAAAATACATGAAAATTCTTGCGACTTACGTTAAAATAAAAACTATTTCTCGATAAATAGCATTTGAAATTGATAGAACAGACATGTAAAATATACCAAAAAACTCTCCTTTGTTTGAATAATCAATAAATAATATATATTTATATGTCGAATTGAAATTGACCTAATCAAGAGCGAAAACCAGCTGTTTTGACAAGTATCGAAATGAAATAAATATTTGCTTTCACATATTAAACTATGTCAAAATGGGAGTCTTCGGTATATTTTAACATCGCGACAATTATTTTAAACATAAAAACACTACAGTAAAACGAAAATTACGCTGTACGTTGCAAGAATAATTTAGCTTGCTATGCTTATTATTAATAAACAAAATGGTATTATTTATTAATCATATTATTTTCGTTTATTGTACATTTTTTGTCGATAAAACAATATAGAGATTCTTATTTCTACTGTTTTGAATTAAGTCGCCACTGTCAACGCAGACTTGGCAATCGAGTATGCAGGAGCCTTAAAATATAACGCGAAAAAATATTCGATGTTCAATAGCTATAAAGAAATTGTCGCAATACAATGTGTCGAAAGGCACAATTGGTATCTGGGTACTTAAACATTATTGGAAAAGAAAAATGTATTGACAGAAGGGTTAATGTGTGTACAAATTTCGATAATGTTAAATTTAATCAGGATTTCTCGAGTTAAATGCGATTTACATTCTTCTCGCTTGTGATAATTAATCGTTAATATCGGACAGGCATCAACATAACTCAGGTATTGCACGAGGTGATGCCGGCCTGCAATCAATTACTGTCTACCTGCTGGTGGCGCAACGCCGATCGTAATTGTTGCGAGATCTTCGAGGTGCAGAAGACCGAGTACGGCTTCTGTTATTCGTTCAATTCGGAAATGGCGGTGACATCCCCGGCGGATCCCACGGAATCGCGACCACGAAGAGCATCTGGCTACGGCGAATGGAGCGGCGTCAAGGTTACGATTCATCTGGGAAACATAACGAAGCCGCCGGATTCTGGTAAGGATATTGGCAACGCCGAAACACCAACCGTGTAATATTCTACGTGTAGCGATACGAGGTACAAGCGATATGGATCGGAGAGAGCAAGTTATTTTGCAAAAAAATAAATAAAAAAATAAATAAATAAATAAACAAAATAAAGAGTAAAAACATGTACGCGATCGTGTCAAATAAATTGCTCTGGAAATGTGGAACCACGGCCGATCGAGCGCTGATTCGCCTTCTAGTCACGCCCATGGGTATCGCCTTCGCGTTGTATCATGTTGAAAGATTCAAAGCTTGATCGACGCGAATCAAAGAAATCTTCGAAAAATTTACTTCGACAGGTTCACCTGGCTGCATCAGAAAATTGGAAATTTTTCTGATGTAATATGAAATGATAAGAGAAAATTTAGATCTAGTTCGCGTAGAGTAACTGTAAAAAAATATATAAATAGTTTACATGTTAAAAAAAATGTAATTTACAACTAGTAGTTAGTAGCTACATATATTTTCTTAAAAACAACTATATGTTTTCTTTAAACCAATTGATTCCTTTCATTATTTTGTGCATAAGAATATGAGGTAAAATCATGAATAATGAATATTTTAATGAAAAATTAATATTCTACGAGATATTTTATAGTTCATGTAAAATTATGTATAGGTAAAATTTATATAAATAAATTAAAATATAAAATATCTCTCGTAACTATTCAATTTTTTTACAATTCTATATATTTATTTAATTACATTATTATATTGATTACAATATTTATGCATTTTTGCAAATAAATTGTATGTGCGCATATATAATTTCAGTTTAGATCTTCATATATTGTTCATTATTGCATTTTCGCGACAAAGAGAAGTAAATGCATTATATGAATAAATATTTAGCATAAAAACAAGTTAGGGAGGAGAGACGCAAGAAGAAGGGGATACACACTCACACATATATTCAAGGTGTCCTACATAAAGTGTTTTCTCCGTCACTGCAAGAGATATTAACTTGATTTTTTAAATTAAATCAAATAAAGTAGCTAAAGATGGATAAAAAAATGTTGAAAACCTTCAAGGAACAAAAGGGGAATCTCTTTTTTTTTTTCAAATGACACTACTATAATTCTTTTATGTAAATCGATTGCTTGCAATATTTGGCATACAAAGTTATAAGAATACGATGATCAAAAAGTGAATTTACGAGATATTTTTTTGTACTTTAATGTAACATAATTTTACATAAAAATATTTCGTAAAATATTCATTCTCCGATGATCTTGCCTCAATACTTTAATGCACAAATTAATGAGAAGAATCAATTGGTGTAAAGAAAACACAGTTATTTTTAAGAAAAGTATGTAATTTGCAACTAGCAACTACATATTTTTGGATTAATAACTAATATTATTTTTACCGAGATCCGCTAAATGACAAAGTATACAGCAACGACGTATCGTTACTAATCCGCCGTTATGCAAACGCATCACAGAAAATCTCGCAAATATGATTTTAATATCCTGGCGAATACCTGTCATCGGACGCATTTTAAATAGAACGTTCTCCCGCGTTTCATCATAATGCCGCTTCTTTATTACTTCGCGCGTGAAATGGGGAACGGAATTTTTATCGTAAACTGCAAAATCGATGTATCGGCACGATGTTGCGAGGCAGTTATTGAAATGTCACCGCCAAAGGAATCTTTCAGTTCACGCTTGCCGTTTTGTCAATTAAACATTTTTCCCCTTTCCGTGAAAAATCGAAGCTCAAACCGGTGAAATTTAAGAATCTGTCGTGATTAGGATATATTTTGCGTTGCAGAGAATATTGGCGGTGTCGTAGTAATAATAAATGACCCGCGTGTCTGGCCCAACAGTGGCATTATGATACCGTCAGGTTCGCTGGTCAGCCTGTCCTTGGAATGTGTTTCCGGATACGCTACCCAGCGGGTTCTAGAGCTGGACCGCGATAGGCAGCCCTGTCTGTACGACGAGACAGGCGTGTACAATCAGGAGACCTGTCTGTCGCTTTGCAAACGCAATTACGTCATCAAGTATTGCGGCTGCAATCCATCCTTCCTGTTCCCAGCAAGTACCGATCTCTTTCGTATTTTTATAAATTGTCTATATATTTTTCATAAATAATTCGTCCTCGACGAAAATTGTGATCTGTTTCAGCCGCACGTTATCGTGACTGCACCATCGAGGATTTTATCTGCCTGCTCGATTATAATGGTGAGAGTTTCTATCTTTTTCATTTTTTGTCTTGTATATATAAATGTATCTCTTAATTCTTCTGTCAATATATAATTTTTCATATTTCAATGTATGGATACCCAGCAGTATGATATTTTCGATACATTGCATTGTGATAACTTCTTTATAGCAGCGAGATCGAAAATTCTTTCTCGTTATATTTTAGGAGTATATTTCAGTTACAAAGACCTGAATATAAAATATGAAGGTTCTTTATATTTTGTTTTTAATATTCAAAGTTGCTTTGGAAACCTGGGTACCTGTTCATTGATAAAAGAGTTAAATATAAGATTAAATGCAACATTTACTCCTTTCATATATGCGATACAAGATCTATTCAACGATTACATCGTTTACTTCGGTGGCAAGATCCCGCACAGCATTACTAGCATGATTTGCAAATGTTCGCCGGAATGCGATTACTATATGTACGGCACCCAGTTTTCTAATGTGCCGCTACATGATAATATGAACGACATTACACTGGACGTGCATTACATAGGGCAAACTAGTTTCCGCTACAAAACGGACATAGTCATCACACAAATGGACCTCCTCGGTAAATCCCTCTCATTCTCTCACTGCACCTTTTTTTACAGATATATTTTTTGCACGTATTACATTCTTCTTCTGCCAAATGTTTTCCTCGTATATTATAAGTAGAAAATGCTAAAAGATAAACTCTAAACATTAATTTTTCCAACAATGTTCTTTCTTACTTTAAAAAAAAATCAAATTCGGGTTTAAGAAATTTATAGAGACGAAATGGTAAAAGAAATACATGGAAAAAATATTTGTGAGAAATGCTTTATTCAAGCTCGCTCTTCTAGATTTGTGGAGAACTTTAATTTGTGGCGTCTTAATTATTTCCCTATTTCTATTAGCCGTTCCGCGGCGGTTTGCCCGCGAGATACCAAGTTAAGAATTCATAGCGCTTCCATTCCTTCTTACTCAAAATGTTTACGCCTCTTGTTTACGACTATCTTGCTGCATAATTCGCCATTTTATTGCGGGAGATAGGAAAATTGAGAGAAGAAATCATGTGAATTAATATCGCGGAAATTAAAGTCAATATTGCGCCTAACCTAACCTAATCCTAACCAAATCGTGTCGATGCTGATCTGAACCTACCGTATTGTATATCTCTCTCATCATCATCGAATGTTTTTGCACGATCACCATATTAATAACTTGGTCCCGATTTGCATATCTCCTTGTAGTATCTTTCGGCGGCATAATCGGCTTATTTCTGGGCGGCTCATTGCTGAGCGCCGTCGAACTCGTCTATTACCTGATAGGGGCGCTGCTCTCGTTTCTGCCTTCGCGACGAAAGGCCGAGAGAGCAAAGATGCGGCCGGAAACGACGCGGTCGAAGGCGACGATTGCACGCAGCACAATAGGATCGGTGCTGCCCATTCTGGATTACAGCCCTCTGAAACAACGGGCGAGGAGGATTCCGATTTTCGCGAATTACGACCTCACGGAATCGAATTTGAACAGATATTAAATTACAGAGGCTGAAGATAACGCCCTCTCGTGAGTCTTTTGATATCGCGTAGAGGAGGGAGAGCCTCTCTATTATGGTCAAGCCACGTTGAGAAATTTGAGAAGGTAAAATAAGAGAGGTTCATCTCCCAAATCGATATTTGTACGTTAAAATGCGAATGCGTGCGATTTCTGTTATGCAATTCTATTCTCTTCTACAAATCGAAGGACAAAAATTTTACAAACTAGATATTCGCTAAACGCCGCGCCAATCGGGAGTACTGTCTGCTAGAATAAACGAGTCCCGTTTTCCATGGACATGTCGGTTATTGTGTTTTACTCTCTGTCCCCATAAATCAGAAAGTAGCCGCGATATCGATCAGATTTGACAGGGAAATCGAGAATGCCTCGCACGCGAAATCTGGTATCTACCTCCTCCTAGACATCCTTATTCATGTGCGCGTGCATGCAGACGTTTGTATTTGCGCGCGTGTATGCAGGCAACTCGTATTTTATTCAACGTTATATATGATACGTACCTTCCATCTTGCCATTTTGCGGCCGCGTAACGCTTGACTTCAATAATACACGCCATACATTTTACATGCGTCTCGAGCGACTTCGTTGGCTTTCTTGAAGACTGGCAAGTCGAACAATTGTGCAATTTGTACATTTTTTTCGTTGTATCTTTGAAAAAAAATGTCATGAGTAATTTTAAAGAAAAGTTTTATATGTAGCAAACAAATATTTTTAAAAGAAAAGACAATTGAGTGAGACAGAGATTTGCTTTATTCGATGCGTAGAACATTATGGCCTAGTTTACATCGAGCACTTGATACGCGTATCAAATAGTAATAATAGTAATAATTAGTAAATTGGTTTAGTCATTGGCTGATCAGCTCTAATGTACTATTTGATACGCGTATTAAGTGCTCGATGTAAACTAGACCTATATCTTACAATCGCGATTACATTTGATTGTATAAGATGTAATAATATTTCAGATACATGATATAAGATATATAAATAAATTACTGAGATTGGATTTTTTATTATCGCCAGTAAAAAAATTAAAAGAACACATATTTCTCGACCAATACTGGCAGTTATTTATTTAAATCTCACAACGTTTCAACCATAATTTTGGTCCTTTTTACGTGTACTGTTAGAATATTAAAAAAGAGAGAAAAAGACCATATTGTTGTGTCGATATGACGCCTCGTCACTTGTGCTTATATTAAACTGACATATATAAATAAGATGACTTTGTAATCTTTATATATAAATAACTCAATTTATTGTAATTGAAATGAAATTCTATTGTGAAAGATTAAAATAATTTTCCTCAACAATTGCTAACTCACAGTAAACCATTACAATTACCGTTATAAATGTACATTTTGAAGGCTACATATTAGAGAAACATAAATTAATCAAACATTTAATTATATTTTACAATGTAATATCGGGAATAACAGAAATAATATATTAGATATTAAATTAATTTGTAATTAAATATTGTGTGTGTGTGTGTGTGCATGATTACTCATGAAAGATATAAATAAAATTAAAATGTACCTACATGACAAATGAATGAAACTTATGTAAAATAAACATCGAATTATATGTATTTCGAAAAGAACAATTTTAAATTCAAGAGAGGGAGACCAAATTCAATTTCAAATAAAAGATTTTTTGAATAAAAAAGAACGAAATGAGATTGGGACATCCTGTACGTGCGCTAGTTATCGTCATTTCGCGCCACAAAAGTGGCCGTGTCGACAAAATGCAAGCGGACAATTGCAGCATTTTAGATGAACGCTGAAATGTATGAATAACGGGAATAAATCGCGCGTGGCCGCGCATTTGGTGCACTCGGCAAAATTGTACTGATCACGATTCATACTATTTATGCGAGAGAATGCTTGAGCGCAAATAATACATAAGGACTCTCTCGTACGCGGCATTCGTCTTGCATTTAACACGTTTGCGGCGCAACATTATATTATACTATCCCTCATTGATATGTAAATTGTAACTAGCCAGCTACATATTTTTCTTAAGAACAACTATATATATATATATTTATATCTTCTTTACATCAATTAATTCCTCTCATTATTTTGTGCATAAAAGTATTCAGATAAGATCATAAAAAATTAATATTTTACGAGATATTTCATAGTTTATGTATACAAGATGTCTCATTTTAATGTCTCACCCCAAATAAGTTTTTTATTTTTATTGTAGAAAAAATATTTCAGATAAAAATTGTATGGTTTTGAGGAGGACATAAGGTGGTGCCATTAGTTTGACCTTGAATAGTTGCTTGAAAGTCATGTAAAGGTCACCATGAGGTGGGAGATCTTGTCTTATAACTAAAAAAATACTTGGATTAAAAATGTTTCATTATAGTGTTTTGGAAAACTCTCGATGTCAGCTACAAGAATATGTAATGAAAAGTAGGTAGTTCCATTTAAGAAATTTAAGGTGACCTTTACATGACCCTCCAGCAACTATTCAAGGTCAAACTAATTGCACCACCTTATGTCCTCCTCAAAACCATACAACTTTTGTCTAAAACATTTTTTTCTACAATCAAAAATAAAAAACTTATTTGGAATAAAACATTAAAATGGGACACCCTGTATATAAAATTATATTAAATTAATATATAAAATATCTTATAAATTATTCACTTTTTGGCCAGTCTATCTCAAACAGTACAGAATATTCAATGGATGTTCAGCTTTGGTTTTTATGTAATCCAAAAAGGATCCATAGATATAATATAAATGTTTTAAAAATATCGATTATTGGACATTCAAAGTATATTTACATTTAGACGTTTTAAAACTGTTCATTTTACTCATATATAGCACAAATATTTGAGCTACATTGCAGTAATGTTATAATCTTACAAGTTGCAATGTAATATTGAAGAGAAATTCTCTAAGAACATGTAACTGTATAATATTTTATGAAAAATGTTACAGCAATATTCCAAAAATATAAAAAGCAGTATCGTTAGTTGTTTTATTTACTGCTATGTGACCTGCGATGCGCTACTATCTATCTCGTATTTAAGATTGTTTATGAGATTTATATAAAGCTTGCAAAAAGCGACTATTAAGATTAAAGTAGCTGGATATTCGAGTATTACGGATGTAAACAGAGTGAACTTACACAGTTCCAAAGAATTTTTCTTATCTGTCTTGGACATCTGCAATATTTCTGCAATCTTCATCTTATTTTGTATGTGTGTGAGAGACACTAGGTGTATACAATACTTTATCTACTTTAAAAATATAAAATTTTACACATTGATATTATCGTATGTGTCGTACTCGAGTATTTTCTACCCCGGAAAGAAATCCAGGGAGCGAGAAATTTCGCGGAAAATAATGGCAGGCTCGTCGTCGCTAAGGACGTAGTTATTCTCCGCGGTCCGGGCGATTTTTCGAGCGACGAGCCGGATTTTTCCCTTTAGACAGCGGACGCTTTCATGCCATTGAGGATAACCGGCGCACTTAAAACAGCAGATAAGACACGCGTCGCCCATTTTTCCGTGTTTTTTTTCTTCAACGCGACATGTGTAAAGCGTGCGCGGTTTGAGATGGAAGCGAATGTTACCGGCCGTCTGGCCGAACCCCATTTGGCCATTTATTATTTATGAGAAAAGAAGATGGCGCGCAGGAGGACGAAGGAGAAGTGGGAAGGGAGAGCGAAAAGTTGCGCCGTCCTCGTCCCCGAGTAGCGACGTCAACTCGCCGGGAAAAAAATCCCTTTCTCGCGCTTATCTCTTTTTAGGGGCGCTACCCGCCGGGATTCATCCACCGTGAAAGGGAGATACTTCACGGGAGGATACATCTCTCTCTGTCTTTTTTCTCTTTCTCTTCTTCCTGCTGAGCTTTAAAACATCCGTCGGGAGGTTTAGCCAACATCGCTTATTATAAAGACCTCTGAGGTGCAGCTATACATAGACGTCAACGTGTAGTCAACTAAAGTAGTTGTCTTCTTCGGATGGATATGCGGTTCTGCCAAATAAATGGATTGTTTGAGATTCGGAGATGGTCATTTCGTCCTCTTTGGTCTTTCCAACGGCAAACACTTGCGCATATTGCTCGCAGGATCCGACGTAGGCGGACCAAAGATCTATGGGTTGAACAAGAATGGAGAAAAAAGAAGAAAGAAATGGTCGGGAGAGAAAAGCGAAAGCTTTTGAAAGAGTGTAAGTGGGAGGATGCGCGATTGCTCGAGGCAGGACAGAGCATTGCCTGAAGGGCGACAGCGGGAAAAGACCAAAGAAGAAGAGGAAAGCGAAAAAGAAGAAGAAGAAGAAAAAGGAAAGAAGAAGAAATGGAAAAAGAGGAGGAAGTAGAAAAACCGATCGTTGTCGGGAAACGAAGGAAATCTGCATTTTGTCAAACTGTCGCTTGAAAGTTTGCGAGCGCGTCTGGAAACACGGTGGGTGAAAGGTTGAGGGCGGGAGGGCGGGGCAAGGGGAATAGAATAGGCGAGGGATTGTCGAGAGTGGAAAAAGGATGAACGAACTGGCGCGCGCGGCTTGCCCCGTCGAAGAAGGAAGCGCCAAAGTTTTGAGAGTAACTCTCTCCGGCGTGCTGTTATCTAAACCCTTCACGTAGCGTCTCGAGTAGTTCGAGGTCGAAGGCTGCTTCTTGCCGAGGAATATCAGAACATTACTTTAGATAAGAATCCCACAGACAACAATAACTCGTCCCGTTTAATTGACGTGGAACATGTTGTCCCGAACCTACTGCGAACATAAGTGCCGAAAGAGGAGAGAATGAGAATCGAGATGCATCTGCCAAGCCGCAAGGACATTGTATGGAAAAAAATTTATCGCACTAGATGTTCGATAGAAAAAGAGTATTGATTTAAACGTCGCGCGGATATACAAACAAACTCTTCTCTCTTCAAAGTAAAGGACAATTTATTATTCGTGACGTCGTCTTCTGGAAGAACGAGCTCATTACGATAAATGTCGATGACTATTAAGAATAAGGACAGGTACTTTCAGCCGCGCCTGCTCTTCGGTTTCGATAAATTAAATCTTTTCTTCGATCCTATGTACACTCCGACTTTGTCGCTTTATGTAGGAAGAAGGGGGTCAATATGGCACCGAAGGTTGCTCTAGAAAAAAAGGTATCGTTTGCTTGGCTGCTTTCTTGGTAATCTTAAAATAGGGTACAGCAGTACGAACATTGGCCGTTCGCCAAGCGACTTTAAACTTCCATCCTCTCTCTGAGGATTGGAAACATCTTTGTCGGCGCGCGTCGTAAGGATCACGAAGGGCCAGGGCCACTCGTCGAAAATTCGAAACGTGCGCGCCGGTATCGAATGCACGAGAGGAACCTGGATGTTTGAGATTCTGCGATCGGTGCTTCGAGACTTTTTATGCTTTGAGATTTTCTT